GTGGCTGGTGGGTTTGAACCGTCAGCCTTTCGGTTAGCAGTCAAGTGCCTTAGGCAGTACACTACCAGAGCCCTACAATATTTGTCTTTTGTTAGTTGCCTAATTTCATTCAGCATAATGTCCTCTTAAGTTAATCCATGTTACAAAGTTTTTCACAGGTTCATCATTGTTCTTTAATGTGTGTTATATTCCATAGTGTGTATGTACCATAATTTATTTACCCATTCATCTGTTTATGGGCAGTTTTTGTTCCATGTGAGTAATTTGCTATTGTGAGTAATGCTTCAGTGAACCTGAGTATGCATATCTCTGTTCGTATCATGGCTCTTACTTCTCTAGAATATATACCTAGTAGTGGGATTGCTGGATCATAAGATATTTCTATTTCCAACTTTTTAAGGAAGTGCCATACCATTTTCCACAGTGGTTTTTACAGTCCCACCAGCAGTATATGAGAGTTCCAATCTCTCCACCTCTTGCCAGCATTTGTTGTTTTCTGTTTTTTTGAACTGTGCTATTGATGCTGGGCTGAGATGATATGTGATTCTTGTTTGGATTTTCATCTCTCTAGTAACTCATGATTGTGAACATTTCTTCATGTATTTGTTAGCCTGAATGTCTTCCTTAGTGAAGGGTCTGTACATGTCTTCTGCCTATTTTGTAATTGGATGCTGGAACATTTTAATCTAATATGTTTCATACATTTCTATAGCTGGCAGGAACTTGACGTGTGCCTTGACTTTGTTTTTTCCTTTCATAATCTGTTCTGCTTTCACCTCTTTTACATGTTTATAACTTATCTCAAATCCTTTGCAAGCAGATTTTCTGTAAGGATCTATTGCAATATTTTAGATTTAAGTTATTTCTCAGTTCTCTATTCAATTTACTATGATTAAATCTTGAGAGACCTTTAGGATTCTTGAGTTACCTTTTCTTTACATCTTATGCTTTCTGAATAGATTGTTTTATGGAGGAACCAACCACGATGGTGAGTTTCTATCCCAATATCCCAGAAGCTCAGCCACCAATTACCTGTGGAGAATTTATCTTCCTCATGGACCGCTCAGGAAGTATGCAATGCCCTATGAGTAAACAAGATAAATCCCAGTTGCGTATAGATGCTGCCAAGGTAAAACTACTTTCTTTCTGTCTTGAGGGTCACATGTTCTAGTGAGGATGAATCTCAGGGATTAAGTTGGGGTCTTTCTGGAGCTGTGGACCTATTTCCTGTCTGAGCTATAATTAACATGCCTGCTTTGAGGCTGATCTTGGAATATAAGGGCCTCAATGATGAGGGAGGGTAAAGACCCATGTCCATCACAGATTTGCTAGCCTCTCTGTGTGTCTGAGAGGGTCCTTTCTCATGATGTCTCCTCATACTTTTTTACCTTTAGGAGACACTGATTTTGCTGCTGAAGAGTTTACCTGTAGGCTGTTATTTCAACGTCTTTGGATTTGGATCATCCTATGAGTCATTGTTTCAGTGAGTTTACAGAAAGGCCATGGAGAGTCCCGAAGGATATTTAAAGAAAGGGGCTAGATTGTTAAATGTGTGATTGCAGACTTAGGTGTTGGGAATTTTAGATAAAGTTACTCTACATTGGGGTATCTCAATTCAGGAACTCAACAGTGGGCATCTCAAGTAGCTGTCATGTGATTGGAAGTGTTTGTTTTTCTCAGGGATAGTGTGAGGTACACTCAGCATACGATGGAAGAGGCAATGAAAAGAATTAACCATATGAAGGCAGACCTAGGGGGCACTGAAATCTTGACACCACTCAATGCCATATATGGGTCACCCACTATCCCTGGCCATCCCTTGCAGGTAAGAACTGGAACAGAGGGAACAGAGGAGACAGAGAGAATGAAATTTCTATTCATGAATCTCTGGTCCTGAGCTACGTTGCAGAATTGTTGAAATATGTATTTAACTCATAGAGTCTTCTGTCAAATTATAAAGATGAAAAGACAAGAGGCATTTGATGCAATTTATCTTCTTTAGCTCCATTTAGTGGTCAGTGAAACGTTCCTTGCAGTGATATACAAAAAACTTGTAAATAGCCTTTGTGAGAATGTAGCACAAGTCACAATGGAACATGAGGGATCTGATTCCTGTCTGAAGAGGCAAAAGAACCTCTGGAATAGTTGGGTTTTTAAAGACAACTTCTTGCATTTTAAAAATGAACTTCACAAAGACTTAAGGAGTATCTTTATTCTTTCTTTCTACAGCTCTTTGTCTTCACAGATGGAGAAGTTACTGACACATTTAGTGTTATTAGAGAAGTTAGAAGCAACAGCAAGAGGCACAGGTATGAGGAAAATTACTATATTTCTGGGTAACTGGACCCTAGGAGGGAGATCCAGTGCCACATGTAGTCTATATGTCAGTGTTGACATTCCTTAGCACAGGATAGAATGATTCAA